TCTCAAAAAAAAAAAAAAAAAAAATCACTGGTCCGGGACATGCTGCTTGGCTAGCCTTCAGCTTGCTCCTTTAAAGCTGAGTTTTAGACACATTTGAGTAGTCCAGCGTGCAGGAAGCAGTGTGCTAGCGCACAGGTCCGTACAATAAATGACCGACACCCCCCCACCCGACACAGGGAAATCGGGATGATGGAAGAAAGCTGCTTTCTACGTGCGTGAAACGATTTTAATCTCTTGCTGTTGTACAAATAGGGGACAGCAGAAAGAAGCGAGAAAAGCCTATTTAGTATAATCCAGGGAAAAACAATTGTTTTTGTAGGCAGGTTCACAGATCTGAGCTCACCAGGCAAACTTTGGGTAAGGGAGGCAGGTGTTTTTACTTCCTGGGATGATGGGTATTTGTGTGCAACCCTGATCCACTCGGTGTACAGGGCAGAGCCAGCCTTAAGCCTTTTTCAAGGGAAGGGTCAGGGATGTGGAGAGAATTCGGCTTCGGGGGCCGGGGGCGTTGCATGTCTGGCTCCGTGTCGGTTAAATTCGGGTAAACTCGTGCAAATTTAACAAGCCACAGCAGAACAAATGAGTGAGGATGTCATGCTGTATCTCTTTTCCTGGCCCTCAATTCGCTGCTCCCAGACAGGGGCAGGAACGGCCGGAAATCCTCCCACGCTTTTAAAAGCTGCCTTTGCCAACCCCGGCTCCAGGGTCTTTAAAGTTTTGTACTCACAAAAACCTTAAATTCTGAAAAGCTATGTGTTCCTCTGCACCATTTTTAAGTTTGCATGTGAAATTTTCATCTTTAAATAGTTGCAAAGGATAAAATTTCCACCATGTCTTATATTGCAAATAGACTTTAAATATATCTGAGGCAACACGTTGGAGTTGCAGGTTTAGCTCATTCCGTTTATGGACATTCCCCCCAGAAGATCTAATTGGGAAAGTCTGCCCTCGCCGTGAAACCAATTGTTTACTTTTGGTCAGGAGAAGTCTGACTTCATTTTTCAGTTTAAAATAAAGGTGTTCGTGTCTTCTGTGACCACGATCTCGTTTTCAAATTCCAATTTTAAGAAGGAAGGAGGGAGAAGAAATGGCTTAGAGCTTCAATTTTTCTTGCCTTGCTCACGGGACTTCCTCAGGAGCAATACATTTCAGTTTGTTGGTTTTCTTTCTTTCTTTTTACTCGTGGTAATATGCCATCGTGGTAGCACGAGAAGTATTAATATGTACACTTTTCTTTAATGAAATCGAAGAAAGAAATTCGAAAGGGGAAGGAAAATCATAGATCACATAAGCACATTCTTAGCCAACCAAATAAGTTTTAGGAAAGTTCACAAGGAGTTAGAGGACCTGGAAAATCTCCCTGTTAGTCTCTTCCAAGGCTTCCTATATTCCGTGAGTACACCTACCTCACACCCACCCGCGCTCCCCAAGACCCGGCCCTCGCGAGCTCCCAGCTGTCCCTGCAGGAAGTGGGGTCTTCACCTGATTTGCAGGCAGCTCGCAATTTATTGGAGCATTGAAGGTCTCCTTTCTGACCTTTTCACTTTCAGTTCAAATTTCTTTCATGTCCTCAAATGAAATCTCGGTGGGGTGGAATCTTTGCTCTTTGTG